AAGTGGTATTATGTAATAAACTTGAACCAGTGTGTATTTAACTCGAATTTTGCTACAGTAGACTCCGTTCTTAACTATGGGTCATCTGTAACCTGGACGTTCTTAACCCAGGGACTACCTGTATGTTTTTTCCTGGATAGAGAAATTTGAACTCTTGCCTTTTCCCTTCCATAATGTGCTGCATACAACTCACAGGATGTGGTGGTTTGAACCCCTGCAGATTCCCAGGAAGCGTCTCCAAGCCCTCCTCCCCTCCCTGTAACTCTTTCAGAGTCTGAACTTCCTGAAATGGAATTTCCCCACATTCACTACGCTCTCATTTATCTGAGAATGAAAGGCTTATTAGAAAGCAGGAAGTTTAAGTGGACAAGCCCTCTAAAAGGACTGTTTTCCTTAACAAAATAATGAACCACATGTCTGCAGGATGTGGATGGTTCCTTTTACATACATTTCGCTACTGATCCTTACTTGACCTTGATCAAAAGAATCTCAGACTCTTTCTCTCATCTAGAGATATAGTGAAAGATACAGTTATATGAACTAGGATAAGTGGAAGGGGAGTAGAACAGGAATAGGATAGTAGTAGGATAGTGTGCATTATACTGCACAGATTCCACCTCAGAAACATTAATCTCAATATTCTCCGTTGCTCATCTCCTTCTCCACATTTTTAAAAATATTTTCTTTTTTAGTTTCCAACTCCCTCTGCTTTCTATAATTCATATTGTTTCATATCCTGCTTCTTTTTTTCTTTCATCTCCATTTCGTTCTTTACCATTTGGGACAGATTTCCTCAATTTGGGGTCTTCCAGAAGAGATTATCTGCAAATTATAGTTAAATGCATTTGAAGGACACCAGATTGGAGAAAGCTACAGCAACATAAGTTAGCAAAGGAATCTAGATGACAGCAGAGGTGTATATATATATATATATAAAATGACAAGTACAAGGTTTATTTTGGCATTCCTCAGGGTGAGATGTGATTCCCCTAATACATACTTCTGCTCTTCAAAAAGACACAAGCTACAGTACTTAAAATGGACTGTCACTCTTCTCCATGCTGTTTGACTGGACTGTTTGTTACTTGTGTTTTTACTTGTATTTTAAACACTCTTCCAAGAAGCTGTAAAAGCATAGTTTAAAAATATTTTCAGTTTAAATGCAAAGCCTTTGAGAATGCAAAGTCTTCTCAAAGTGGTTCACAAGAAAAATGCAATTCAATAAATATCAATATCTTACTGTTGGCAGAGCAGCAAAGCTTGTACACAAATGAATCAGTTACTGTTGTTACAGTGTTCGAGTCAGTCTTGACTCTGGTGACTACATAGCTAGGTCCATGTAGTTTTCTTAGCAATATTCTTGGAAGTGGTTTGCCACTACCTTCTTCTAGAATAGTTTTCAATTTCCCAGTCTAGGGCTAAGAGAGAGTGACTGGCCCAAAGTCACCCCATAGGTTTTTGTGCTGAAGGGAAGACCAGAATTCAGGTCCCCCACTGGTAATCCAACACTTTTAACTACTATATTATAGGCTAGATGGGATTTTTACTATAAGGGATTTTTCTATATGCAGAAGAAACAATTTATCTCTTTTTCATGAAATCAAACCCATCAGATTCTAATTGTATGTGGAAAACCATCTGATTATTCTATATAGCTGGGTAGTAAGTCTACTGCTTTCTAACCCAATCCTGTCTGACACCACAGTAACTTTAGCAGAGATGGGAAATTCTATTTGGGATACATGTACAAATTGCTTTCCCTGTGCCAGTGCCCTTAGGTTAAACATTCTTATGTTCTCCATGTAAAGCACGTAACAAATAGCATTTCTTGGCTGGTGGACCATGCTAAGACTGGGGCTTATGAATGGAACAAATCCTAGATATCTAACTAACTTGTCACACTGAATCATATCTTGTTACGTTGTTAAGTGTGATCTCAAAATAGTAAGCATATATAAAGGAGTATTACTAAAAAGCATGCTGCTTATGCAGCTGTCATAAGGACTGCCTTAGACTCTTCAACATATTACATTTAAATGTACAGATTATACCATGAGCTTTTTTTCTATTCTAAGTTTTCTTCTACAATGAGAATTTAACTACTTAGAAGGTCTTAGTTTTTACACAAAACTATAACCAAATTAATTTAGTTTTAGAGAAAATAATGGCTGAGTACAAGTACAGTGGTACCTCGGGATACGAACTTAATGCGTTCCGTGACCCTGGGCGTATCCCGAGTTGGTCGTAACCCGATGCAAATTTCCCCATAGG